TCTCAGTTCTAGTACCTGGGACCAATTAGCACGGACTCAATTAAGAGCCCGAGAGCCAAACATTTTTTTTTCTTCCAGATATAAGGCATAAAAAATAAATTAAAAAAAAATGCATTCATACGATTAGTTAACAAAGTTGCAAAGGACGTTGATTAGAAGCTCCGTTCTTTGAGTTAATCTTTGTCACTAGTGGGATGCTATTAAAAATTATTATTGTAGGTTTATCTGCTAGCCTGTCTGCGATGATCCTTCTCTCGGTAGGCTTAAAGTCTGGAAGACACATAGATTGACATAATAGAAGTGGCTTCCTGTTTATTATAATTTTTATGTGATTGTGAATATATATATAACGATATATATGAATATGGCGTTTATAAAACCGTATAGTATTAATATGATGGCTGGCTAATAGAACGGTGATCCAAATTTATACTTATGTCGATGACATATTTATAAAATGTTACCAGTAAAAAACTATCGTTATTCAGAGAACCGTTTTAACTTTTTGTTGACATAGTATTTAATGCTTTTAGCAGTTATTTAAATTAAAAGAAAACACAGAAAATATTTAGTAAAACGAGACAACACCGACAAATTGGTAAGCCAAAATAATAACCATAACCGAAATACCTAAAATCTAAAAAATAACATAACCCTAACTAATATCATTACAAAATATTCAATGATACAATATAAATATGTAAATAATTTTTGTTCTAAAATCCGCTTCCATAACTTATTACGTTCTCGCTTCTATTTTAACGTAACACCCGTCGACAAACTTTAGTGTTGTCGAAAACGTTGTACGAAGATTTTCTGGTTTAGGACACTTATCCGACGGATGAAAACGATAAGACCGGACCAGTGTTGAGATGACTATTTTCATTTGAAGCATTGCATATTTGATACCGGGGCAATTCCTGTAACCAGCACTAAAAGGAAGAAACGAATACGAATGGCGACTGCGACATGCTTCGGGCAAGAAGTTGTCCGGGTTGAATTTCTCCGGATCGGGATAGATTTCCGCATTAAAGTGTAACAGAGCAGGGAAAATTGCGAACGATGACCCTGCAGATATTTTTAAAAATTACTTTACTTAGTTATTTTAAGCATCAATTGTGGATAGTTATCAAACAAATATATCTATGGCCGTACCTGCAGGGATTAAATAGCCTCCAATCTTTGTTTCCTTTTCTACGTTTCTGCCAAGTAATGGAAGAGGTGGAAAATGTCGCATAGTTTCTTTGATTATACGTTCCAAGTATTCCATCTTTTGTAAATCATCATAGGTAAGTTGTCGATCCGGATCGCCAGAAGAAAATATTGTCAATAACTCTTCCAACACCTATTATTAGGCAAGAAAAAAAAATATACAATTTTTTCGTTACTAAGAATACCTATAATGTGTAATTTTAAAATTGATATATGAATACAAAATATGGGTTACTTTATTTTGTACATCCTGATGATGAGCCAACATAAATATTATACATGCGTTCGTCATACCTGTTGTGTCTTGACCTCCTAATACCACATATAAAAATAAAATTTATAAAAAACATCTCTCAAAAACATGCTAATTAATATAATACACATATCGCCAATTCTTCTTAATAACAATAATAAAAAAAACTCTTACCAATCATAACAGTTATTATTTCGTCCCGTAATTGGTTAAATGTCATCTGATGTCCATTCTCGAGCATTATCTCTATAAACGATTTAGATTTAAGGCCAATACTCTCTTCGTTATGTTCTTCTAGATTGTTTATATTATTCTTCAATCCCGTAATTTTTCTCTGAACTAAATCGTCGATGAAATTGTAAATTTTAAGTTGGCTAATGTCATGTTTGCGTTTAAGGGACGATAACTGAAAGATACTCTTGTTCAGAAACCAGGGGTGTAACATTCGGTATTCCCAAACCTAAAACAAATCTTCATTAAAAAAGACTGACATGCCAACTCAAAAACATCATCGGTACAGTACTTATTAGTTATAAAATGTGCCTTGTAATATAGTTTCGTTCCAGAAATCATTAAATATTGAACGTATACCTTTAGTATGACATGCAAATTCTCCACAAATTCGTGCTTGGTGTTTTTCTGTGCATTAAATTTTACATCCAAAGCGGTTCTTCCGATCATCTCCAATGTCGACATACTGATTGCCCAGCTTATTTCACATTCATCTGTATTATTTTCCCGTTTCTCGTACAACACCTGGCTTAAGAATTTTGCTTCCTCGTAAAATATTGGTACGAACGATTTAAGCATCGAAAACTTAAACCCCGAAGATACCAATTTTCTATAAGTATGATATCAAATTTATATAATGTTTGAAAGTAGGTAACTCTATGTTTAAATATTTTCCATTATATTTTTCAATTGGTTATACATATTGACGCTATATTATTTTTTATGTTTTGTTTTTCTATAATTGTAATAAAAAAAAATATATAATCTTTCTAAAAACGTTCACCTGTTCATTTTCCATTCATGGAACTTCCTGTTTGTAAATATTCCATCGCCCATAATTCGCTTAACACATTATAATGTTTAGATTTTTGGAACAGATTAGTATTAGTTAGAACCGCTTCTACATCTTCAGGTTTTTTGGGAAATATGTATAAGTCATTAAAAAGCCACACTTTGAATAAGGCGTACTCGTATCTATATTACAATTACAACAAACAAATTATTGTTGATCTCAAAGTACTAAATATTGTGATTAATGAAATGTAACAAATAGGATTGTGTAAAGCGTAATTACTCTCTGCCAACTTTTAAAATATTCTTCAATAGCTTTTCAGGTCCTCCAAAAATGATAGGTAACATTCCCACCAAAAAGAATCCATCTTGACCTGGTATTCGATTTGCTAATGTTGTCTTTCTTCGGTTTAATATTTAAAAAAAAAGAACTACTAAAAATAATATTACCGTTATAAGTATAACGACAATGTTATTCAGGCTTGTTTCATTTATTATGTCTGAGACCTGAAAAAATCGTGTCCATTAATTAGTAGTTTTACTTATCATGGTATTATTTTCGTTACATATAATTTAGTGCTATAACTAAACGATAATATGTACGCATAACATTGTTAAAAAAAAATCAGATTAACTTTACCAAAATATGTATATACTACAGTAGCTAATTAGCTAATACACTAGCATTCACTCATTTCAATGGATAGTTAAAGTTGAAGTGGTTTTTAAAAACATGAGGAAATTGTCATATTCATAAATCACATTATAAATATCACCTATTGTTTATTAAAATATTTGGTAATTTTGACTTAAGCCGGTTATAATACATTTTAACAAACAAACGGCTTAGTCCATTAGCCAAAATTTAAGTTTCTACATACAATAATTAGTAACATAATACTCACACAATATTCAACTAACTTTTTTTAAACAGATAATGATAGTCATATGCCATTTGTATTAAACTCAAATATGGGCTTTAATCTTTTATATTTTGGGTTACCGTTTTGTAAGAACACATCAATTTTTTATGACAAAATAATACATTTATGGAAATCCTTTTTTTTTTTTTTTATTGAATGTCAGCGATACGCATATTATGAAATTTTCAATTTGGGATTTTCAGTGGAACCTTAGTGGAAGTTTGGAAAATAGGAATTCATAATAATATGTATATGTTTAAAAATGTATTGATCAAAAAATGTTTTTATTTTAGTCATAAGGTACGTTTAGGGTTAGGTTAGGTTAATGACGATTATTTTATCTTACACTATCCAAAATTTGGAAATTATAATAAAAACACGATCATTTTACGATTGTCGCTATAAACTTTTTAATTTTAGATATTAGATAATAGACAATTTAGAGGAATCTGAAGAAGTTAGTATAATTTTAGTGTAATCATTTTAAAAATAAAAATGATTTAAAAATATATGAGGATTTTCTTTTTGCTTAAAATCCTAGTCATAATAATTGTAATGTTAAGTTGATAGTTATTTACCTGCCGAGACAAAACCATTTCATTTAATCCCATTTTTTTTACGACGAAAACTTAAGATTCTAATTTTCTAAAATAAATTCAAAGCAACTATACACGACGACTAACTCGGTTTATAATTATTCTTACATTTTATACTATCATATTATATGCTTTCCCACTAGTATTCAATTTTCAATAGGTTGTTATTTATGAGTACGTTCATAAGTTCTGTGAAATAATTATGCCAGCATAATTGGGTCGTGGTCTAGTAAGGGCGAAGCATAACTGAATAAATCAATCCTAGTCATTGTAAAAACAATGATATGGTTAAAATTGTATTATTCGACTTTGTTTACTCGATAAACTTTATTTATTATTACTGATTGCCCAGCTTATTTCACATTCATCTGTATTATTTTCCCGTTTCTCGTACAACACCTGGCTTAAGAATTTTGCTTCCTCGTAAAATATTGGTACGAACGATTTAAGCATCGAAAACTTAAACCCCGAAGATACCAATTTTCTATAAGTATGATATCAAATTTATATAATGTTTGAAAGTAGGTAACTCTATGTTTAAATATTTTCCATTATATTTTTCAATTGGTTATACATATTGACGCTATATTATTTTTTATGTTTTGTTTTTCTATAATTGTAATAAAAAAAAATATATAATCTTTCTAAAAAAGTTCACCTGTTCATTTTCCATTCATGGAACTTTCTGTTTGTTGTTAATCCATCGCCCATAATTGATTCGCTTAACACATTATAATGTTTAGATTTTTGGAACAGATTAGTATTAGTTAGAACCGCTTCTACATCTTCAGGTTTTTTGGGAAGTATGTATAAGTCATTAAAAAGCCACACTTTGAATAAGGCGTACTCGTATCTATATAACAATTACAACAAACAAATTATTGTTGTTCTCAAAGTACTATATATTGTGATTAATAAAATGTAACAAATAGGATTGTGTAAAGCGTAATTACTCTTTGCCAACTTTTAACATATTCTTCAATAGCTTTTCAGGTCCTCCAAAAACTATAGGTAACATTCCCACCAAAAAGAATCCATCTCGACCTGGTATTCGATTTGCTAATGTTGTCTTTCTTCGGTTTACTATTTTAAAATAAAGAACTACTAAAAATAATATTACCGTTATAAGTATAACGACAATGTTATTCAGGCTTGTTTCATTTATTATGTCTGAGACCTGAAAAAATCGTGTCCATTAATTGGTAGTTTTTCTTATCATTGTATTATTTTCGTTACATATAATTTAGTGCTATAACTAAAAAAAAATATATACGCATAACATTGTTAAAAAAAGTAAGATTATGTTTACCAAAATATGTATAGACTACAGTAGCTAATATTGACTCATTTCCGTGGATAATTGAAGTTGAAATGGTTTTTAAAAACATGAGTAAATTGTCATATTTCCTAAAAATATTTGGTAATTATGACTTAAGCCGGTTATAATACATTTTAACAAATAAACGGCTTAGTCCATATGCCATTTGTATTAAACTCAAATATGGGCTTTAATCTTTTATATTTTGGGTTATCGTTTTGTAAGAACACGATATATTTAAGAATGTTGTTATAAACTTTTTAATTTTAGATATTAGATAATGGACAATTTAGAGGAATCTGAAGAAGTTAGTATAATTTTAGTGTAATCATTTTAACAATAAAAATGATTTAAAAATATATGAGGATTTTCTTTTTGCTTAAAATCCTAGTCATAATAATTGTAATGTTAAGTTGATAGTTATTTACCTGCCGAGACAAAACCATTTCATTTAATCCCATTTTTTTTACGACGAAAACTTAAGATTCTAATTTTCTAAAATAAATTCAAAGCAACTATACACGACGACTAACTCGGTTTATAATTATTCTTACATTTTATACTATCATATTATATGCTTTCCCACTAGTATTCAATTTTCAATAGGTTGTTATTTATGAGTACGTTCATAAGTTCTGTGAAATAATTATGCCAGCATAATTGGGTCGTGGTCTAGTAAGGGCGAAGCATAACTGAATAAATCAATCCTAGTCATTGTAAAAACAATGATATGGTTAAAATTGTATTATTCGACTTTGTTTACTCGATAAACTTTATTTATTATTTTGTTTGTTAATGTTAATACAATTATAACTTAGGGAGGCTACCGCATCTAAAAAAATGCAACAACAAATTATTTATAAAAATAAAAACAGTGAAGAGCAATAATAACTGTTTTTTTAAAGCGCAAATAAATTTACATTGAAATTTCACCAAAAAAAAAAAAAAATCAGCTTGATAATTGCATCTCTTCCATAAACTGTATTTATTCTATAATATTATAAAAGAAAATGTAATTTCAGCAAATGTAATTTTAATTTTAAACGACACTACACGTGATTAATGAATATTTGATATTTTGCATATTGCTTATGTAATAATGAGAAATAACGCAAGATGGTTTCTTTATAGTGTAATTGTAATATTGTGTACTTAATAATTTCTAAACAACAAAGTTTTTTTTGACTATTTATTTTGAAACCTTGTCTGTTGTCATGTGGTGTAAATACAAAATCATGCAGTGTAGGGTTAAGTAATTATACATTGTAATTATAATACAACTGACACTAAATTTAACTATTGGACGTCTTGGGTTTTGCCTGTTTTGTACTATTTAATAAATAAACATATGTATTTTTTAACGTATCATATGAACTATAATGTTTGTTAGGTAAATAGAAATTTATAACAATATTAGAATGTTTATATTTGTCAATATACAATGAGACCATTGTCTAACAAAAGTATTCAAATTCATTTAACACTTAAATACCCGAAATCAAAAACTCAACTACTTGTTACTGTATTTCAAACGCCCTCAAAAAGCCATAACTCACTTGAAACAATGTAAGGACATGATGTTTCTGTGTCTCCCTTAATGTGGTGTGGTTCTTATCTAATGGTAGGATCTAAAATTAAAAATCTGATATTTTTCTTTAGGAAAAAAAAAACACATTTAAAATCCGTAGGATTGACAAATTAGATTGTGTGCAATAAATATGAAAGTCATTGAAATGCCTTTGGAATAAATTATTGTCTATTTCGGGCATTGAGGCTTTCAAGTCAACTCGTTTACTGCATTGTAATACATTTTTATACGGAAGTTAATGCGTATACATATTTTATTCGTTTAATTGGACTCTAAATAATCCCACGTCATTTGTTTTAAAGTTTGCATAACAATTTCGGTTTTTTTCATTGTTGGGCATATTTTTTTTTTTTTATTTGTTTAGCACAACCGGTATGTTTTATTTACGTCAAGGCTTCAACAACTGCGGTTATTAGCCAATTATACGTTTGTAGACTCAAGGACTAAGTGATATTAAGTTCTTTACAAAAGGACAAAAGGTAAAGTTCTTAGAGGCTAACTGCAATGTTTATTTTAGTTAAAAAATATTTTTTTTTTAGTGCTGTTCTCTTCATTTAAGGCTCCTTCGAAAATGATCGGCATATATATGGTTTTTCATTTGTCTAGATGCTTTGAGCTGTCCTGGATTATACAGGGTGTTCCAGCATGAAAGGTAAGTAATAGGTGATTGAAAATCTGGGGGATCCCCAAATAAGCCCCCCGTTTTCATTTTTTCGATAAGTCAAAAATTGAAGGTTTCGACAGTCAAGTAAAAAAATAATGACCTAAAAAACCAAAAAATTAATTCATGTTATTCAGTGCAAAATGTTCACCTTAGAAGAGGGGTCACATCAATTTCAGTCTTTTTCAGACCCTAACTCTTCTCTTATCACTTATCCTATCATTTATTTCTTACCTCTAGTCTCTAATCATTTGTCTCCTATCACTTATATTTTATCATTTATTTCTCATCTCTTGTTTCTAATCATTTATCTCTAATCTCTTATCATTTATCTTAAATCTCTCATAATTTATCTCTTACCAATTATCTCTTTTCTTTTATCTCTTATCAATTATGTCTTAGCATTTATCTTTTATCACTTATCATTTATTTCTGGTCTCTAATCATTTTTCTCTTATCATTTTTTGAGTTAGAAGCCGAAAGGGACTGAAAATGATGTGACCCCTCTTTTAAGGTGAGCTTTAGCACTGAATAACAGGGCGTAATTTTTTTTTCTTAAGTCATTGTTTTTTTACTTAATTGCCGAAACCTTCAATTTTTGACTTATCGAAAAAATGAAAATGGGGGGCTTATTTGGGGGTCCTCTAGATGCCCAATCACCTATTACTCACCTTTCATGCTGGAACACCCTGTATGTTGGATTCAGTAAGTTGGTTATAGTTAGGTCGACTTGGCAATTATCGCAATGGGTAGGAGGATCCTTATTTGTTTGTTATGCTTGTGTTAACAGAGAATGTCCCATTCTGGCTTTTGTTAAGGTGACTTCGTGCCGTCTTACTAAGTGTGAGGGAATAGGCCATTTTCAATAATTTTCTTAACATTTTTAAGTTTATGAGTGAGTGGCGTAGAATCCAAATAATTTTGCCATACCATGTTTATTTTTTTTAAAATTTAATTTAATTTTAAAAAACCATCATAAAATACATAGAATACAAAAACATCAAGTTAGTTTACATGATTATCTATCTCTTTTAAGCTATAATAGCTTGTGTTAGAGATAGAGAGTAATTAATTAATAATTAAGAACACAAATTATATCATTAAGTAACAAAGTAATGTGATAAATAAAATAAAGTAAAAAACCAAAAAAAAATTTAAAAATTTTAACAATAGAAAAATTGTGAGTATGAGATGTAATATTAAATATAACAGAAACATATGAATGACTTAAACTATTTTAGAAAACTATTATTAATACACAATTTCTTTAACATTACTTTTAGAATAGTGAATATTTTTTTTATAATGCCACGGCAAAGATTTAAAATACATAGGTTCTAAATAATTAACAAAAGATTTATAAAAACAATTTGACAGGTATATTATACCGTATATTTTCTCTATTACCTTCCAACAATTTATAATTTTTACCTTGTATGAACCTTTTACAAGTGTGCGAAATGTCAATTTTTTTATGAAGAAATCTGGTTGGTAAAATACCCAGCTCTCTATAATTTTGAGTCGTAGAATGTTGCAAGGAGTTCTTGTTTAAACAAATTCTTATTATGTTATTCTGGTTTACTTGCAATTTATTTAGAACATTATCGCCTAATCCCTCCCCCCCATACTAACATTCCATATTGGAATATTGATTGATATAGGGCAAAATAAATTACATATTAATATCAAAATTGGGCAATATCTGTAGTAATATTTTGTGATTCACAGTATCAAATGCCTTTTTTAAGTCCAAGGATACAGCAATCACCTTGGTACTGTTATCTAATTCATTAAAAATAAATTAGGTCGTACTAAATAGAGCATCATCTAATTGTATTATTCGACTTTGTGTACCCGATAAAATTTATTTATAATTTGGTTTGTTAATGTTAACACAATAATAACATAGGGTAAGCCTCCCGTATCTAAAAAAATGTAACAACAAATTATTTAAAAAAGTAAAAACAGTGAAGAGCAATAATAACTGTTTTTTCAAAGCGCAAATAAATTTACATTAAAATTCACCAGACAAAAAAATTAGCTTGATAATTGCATCTCTTCCATAAACTGTATTTATTATATAATTATTATAAAGGAAATTAATGAAAACACAATAGTAATAATGTCGGAAAGTGTAATTTGAATTTTAAAATACACTACACTCAAATAAAGAATATTCTATATTATGCATATTGCTTTGGTAATAATGCGAAATAACGCACGATGGTTTCTTTATAGTGTAATTGTAATATTGTGTACTTTAATATTAATATAACAAGTATGTATGCTTTTTTTTAACTATATTACATGGGTAAATGAAATAATTTTTTGATGCAGTACATTCAATACACGTTGACAAACCAAGAAAAAAGAAAAAATTAAAAACTGATTAGAGACTTTTTTATTTTTTTTTAATCATTTTTTATGTATTAGAAACGTATTTTCGTTGTATTGTGTACTTTAAATAGGAAATCTACCTGAAAAAAAAATTAAAACTCTAACATTGAGTCTTGGATGAATAACAGTTAACAATTAAAATTAAAAATTTAAATTGTATCAATCATTTTGAACGAGAAGCGGTTCATGCCGGTAGAATTGCAGTCTACCACAGTAAAAAAAGATAAAGCGAATATTGTTATTATCTCTAATATGGAAGCAATCTTCAGAAGTAATAGTCTTACACATGTTGCAGACATTTGTTCAGCCATATGTGCAATAGTAAACAGTATCAAATTAGTCATGATAATTATCTTTTGTTTTTTTCCCAAAAAAAGTCAGTATAGTAGGGTCACGGCATAACGGGGAAGGGGAGGTCTCAGGTTTACAGGAATTATTACAACTGAATGTGATAAAATTACTTTCAAACAAACATTTTGATGCTAGTTTTTTAACACATCACCTCACTTTAATATTTTCTTACTTTGCTGCTTTTTACTGTGACTGGTTTGGACGGTACTGTTATAAAAAAAATACTACTGTTTCGCATCGAAGCGTTTATTTACTAATAAAAATTTACACTTTCAGTTATAATAATCCCTGTAAATCTGTCACTTTCCAATGTCCCGACCCCACTGTAACGGCTTTTTTAACCCCAATTGATGTTTTATATGGTTTATATGTTTTATATAATATATACTTATGTAAAAATGATATGGAAACGGTTATTTTTTTCTTCTTTTTATTAAATGTGAACGATACGCATATTATGAACTGTTCGATTTGGGATTTATCAGTTGAACCGTAGTGGAAGTTTCGGAAATGGGAATTCATAATAT